ACATACGGAATAACCACTGGTTTGGAGTCTTCAATTTCACCTGAAGGTTGCATAGAATCCTGTCTGTTTCCTGTTTGCTTTCAGGAAAGCCCAGTCAGGATAACCACACTGCTCCAGGGCCTGTCGTGTGTGTGATTTCTCTTTCTGCCTGGCTCCTGGGGGACACTGTCTGCTCTGTGGTACAGAGTCCTGATCACTCCTAACTTGTGTTCCAGTGGGTGGTGGGAGTCAAAACGCAAATATTGGTCTGTGTGGGTGGGCTTACGATACACGCCAGTTTCCAACCGTCCTCCATCCGAAACCGAGACATCGCAATCCAGGAACGCCAACCTGCCATTTTTTTACATCCTCTCGTGTGAACGTAATGTATTCATCCACAGAGTTGATGTGATCAGTGAAATGTTGGACTTCCTGGGCTTTAATTTTAACCCAGATGTCGTCAATATATCTGAACCAATGGCTCGGTGGCACCCCTGAAAAGGACATCAAGGCTCTCTTTTCCACTTCCTCCATGTACAGGTTTGCAACAATAGGAGAAACTTTTTTTTTCCTTTTGATTTTTTACCTGGATTACTGAGATGCATCAGGACTTATAAAAAATTGTTTTTTTCTTCATCAAAATCGTAGAAGTGAGTTTGAAGCAACATCAGCTATATTAATACTTTTTGCACCAATAAAAACCCAAAAGTATGTGATTCTTATTCAATAAGGGTTGTCAGGTGACTGCCACTGTTATGTATCAGCTGTTTGTGCAGCTCTCCTTGCACAAATCTATCCGCAGCAAATTTAGAGGCAAAGGCATAAAACAAGAGTCTTGTGTGAAAGAATTAATAAATATATCATCAACTTCTTAAATAGTGTTTTATTGCTTGATTTGAAATTTTTCTTACATAAAAGAACGCACGAAATAAGATCCATCAAACAAGTCGTCGCAGAGCCTGAAAAAAAAATCTCAGGCTGGATTGCAGTTCCACGCACTGACCACAAGAGGGCAGCAGATGCATCACTGTAAGTCCACCCATATTGTCTTCATTAGTGGAAATAATGTTATGAAAGCAAGACATTTCTCTTGTGTGTGCATGACTGCCTTTTACAAGCAGAGGAATACATTCACGTTAGGATTATTAAACTTCTGATATCCTGATGTTTAGCAGCATTACAGGCGCAGCTCAGGTCTATCATTCACAGGACCTCCATTATACTGAATGTGTGACAGTATCAAATTCACCTACTTGAAAAAAATATAGCTATAAGTGATTTTACTGGTTTTTATTCATTTGTAAAAAAAAATGTTGCCATGTTTCATTTTAGGGAAAATAAAAACTTTAATTTTAAACGGATGTTTAAAAAACCTTACAAATATTCAAACATTTAAGCAATTTTTTCCCTGTTATGTGCACTGATAAATGACATGGGAGGTAGTAGACATAAAGCACATTAGTGTTTGTACACAAAAAATGGACGCAAAACATTTCAAACCATTTATTGTGGAATTTTTCCTCTCAGAGTTATGTTATGTAAAATCTGGACTATAAAGTGTTTTGATGGGGGTTTTTTTTTTAGATTTGCACTTTTGTGTTTTCAGGAGTGGGTTCATACACTTTGCCTTTCTAATTATCTAAAATAGCTTTTTTGTTATTGCGTCATAAAACAGTGAGACATCCTCTGTTACCCACTATCAAAATCTGTCTCAAAGCAGTGCCGGATGCTGGCTGTTGTGTTATTTTGTTATTTTGTTAAGCTTTTATTTTTTATTTAAACATTTAGATAAATCAGTCCTCTCCTTCAAAGACACCTGTAACTCATAACCCTCTACCTTTCACGTGTTCTGTGCAGCTTTCACGTGTTCTGTGACCCTGATAATCTTCTCCATTGAATAAAGTAGGGTGTGACAGAACCCTTTTTCAACGTGTTGAATGAGTGTTCTAAGCGATTCAGAACAAATAGTTATGATTATAACTATTTGTTCTGAACCCTGGTGTTCTTCAGGGAAGAAAGCTGATATCATGCAGGGAAGAAAGCTGATATCATGCAGGTTTCAACAAAAGGCATAGTTATTATTATTGCTCCCTCCCCTCCCTGAGCAGATAGGTTTACTAGCTGCTCCATTATTTTCATCTCACGGTTTATTTGTATTTTTTGTCTTAAGAGTAAAGCAGATCCAAAAAGGCCGACATTTAAAAGTAAAAACATTGTAGGAAGAAAGGACTCTGAGAATATGTGTTTTAATTCTAAACAACAAAAGTTGGATGACATGATTTAACTGAAAAACATAACTGTACAACACAATCTAAAATCTGCCAGTCTTTGCCACCCTGTTGCTCAKTACAACTGTTTCAAATCAGGGAAACATCTAAAAACCACTGCTTTAAATGGTGACCAACACCTCAAGAGCTTCTCTGAGCTTGATGAGACATTTTCAAAATATAAAATTGACTCAGTTTTGTGTTTTTTAGTACTGCCTCTGGAAGCCATTGATTCTTTGTCATTTATTTRTAAATAATAAAACAGATAACATGTATTRAAGTGATTCTCAAYCCTGGTCCTCGAGGACTCCTTTCCTGCATGTTTAGATGTTTCCCTGATCTGACACACCTGGTTTGAATAGATGAGTGATTAACAATCTTCTGAAGACCTGCTGAAGACCAGGGAAACAAGTTAAACATGCTGGACAGGGCTACATGAACACCAGGGTTGGGAACCACTGCTTTTACAGACTCATAGTGCACAACAAAATGCATTTTGATTTTGCATGTGTCCCCTTTAAATCTGTAACGAAAAAGGAAATTTGTAAAAGAAAGTTCTGACCATGTTTTATCCCTATAAAAGTCTTTTTAATTACTTGAAGAAGGCTTCTGAAGTCATCAAAAAAGTTAAATCTAATCAAAACCACTCTTATGTCTTTCTCTGTTATTCTATGTTACAAAACATAGAAATGACTCAGCAACTCCTACTAACGTCTCATGTTTCTGTTTTTGATTCCCCATGGTCCTGAATGTGTCGGATTTCAGGGAGGGGCCAGCTTTCTTTCATAACCAGATGGCAATAAATACTTTCTTCAAGTCAGACTCAAAATTTCCTTTTTGGAATGCAGGGAACACATCGTTGTGTGACAATGTAAGTATACTTTTATATTAAATGTAATCATTCAGCAAACTTTCTTGAAGTCTGGGCAAAAATTTACAGTGTTTTTGTTTTTACTGCAAAAGTACTGGAAAAATATTCTCTGTGTTTCAGGGTTTATCTCTCAGTTCTTGTTGGCTTTCTGCTGGTTTTAACAGCTGAGGCCAGAGTTGGGTAAGAAATGTAAAATTAATCACGTTTTCTTCAATGACCGGCCTGCACAAATCTTCTGCTTAATCCCTGACCAGTGAGTTTTTATAAACAATTAATGTCCTTCTTGTTTCACACCAGCCCCTCTCGTGGGTCGTTCTGCACAGAAACAGCACAGTGCCTGCTCTTCAACCTGACATGCAAGACTGACAAATACGAGGTGAATGTTTTTATATAAAACAAAATGATTTTAATGTTTCAGGTGGCAAACATCTTTTACTCATGATGCTGTTTGCTGTTTAGGTGCGTCACTATGAGTCTGTGAAGTTGGTCACAACAAATAAAACCGCCTACGTGATGGAAAGTGTTGTTGTCTCGATGTTCGGACAACTGTATAAATATATCACCGGTGAAAATGAACAGGGTGTGTATGTTGGTGGATAACATGCTTTCATTAAGCCCTTAAATGACAGAAATTCTTCTTGATAAAAGATTTTATTTCAAAACAACGTTACAAGATTTTTACAAAAGCTCAGACRCTGTTTCACTCAACGTTTACATCCAAACAACTGAGTCTAATTTTCAGCATTTGTTTTGTGCATATTGCTGGTTCTTATTATTGCTGTCACTTGTGTTCGTTTTACAGGCACAAACATAGACATGACCGCTCCTGTTATCATGAAAACGCCTACAAAGAAGTTTTATGAAACTGGTGACTTCTCAATGAGCTTCGTTCTGCCAAATGAAYATCAGAGGAATCCACCTAAACCGACTCACAATGATGTAATGATGATAATGCTTTCTTTTTGTTTATTTTTGCTTTAGGTTGGATCTTTTTTTGGCTCTTGCAGGTAACAGATTTTGGATAATTTGCAGGTTTACATTGAAGAGGTGAAAGAAATGAGCGTGTATGTGACGAGCTATGGAGGATGGATGTTAACAGCGTCTGACGTGTGGAATTCAGATAAACTCTCCTCTGCTCTTGACTCCCGCAATGCCAAATACAACAAAGGCTTTCACTACTCTGTGGGATATAACAGGTATAAACATCCCAATCTTTGATTTAGGAAATTGAACAGCTCCAACATGCGGCTTTCCTGTTCTAATGTAAATACTTTTGTATTATTTGCAGTCCAATGACCCTGATGAACAGACACAATGAGGTTTGGTTTGTGGTTGAAGGTGACCCTGTGTGCCTGTGACCTGGTCCAGTGCATCACCTGGACATTGTGAGGACTGTGCATGCATCACATGCTGCAGACATTACATGTGCTTTAGCTGCATCTTGCCTGAAGTCACTTACATAAATACAACCTTCCTGTGAGCATACAGATGTAAAATGTATGTGAATATTATTTCGTCTTTCTGTTTTATTTGATTGTTTAGAATCAATAAAGTAGTTTTTTGCTCAGATTTTTCCAGCGTTCTCTCATTTTGGACCAACACCCTTAGAGATCTTTTAAAGAAGAGGGAACTGGTAAACTGCTTCAAGTTGATATGTGAGAGAAGATGTCCTTTTTATTAAAAAAATTATCCTTGTCTCATTATACACTTTCATATCTGATCACTGAAAAATAAGGTCAAGCAGTCAACTGAAGATCTGTCRGTAAAATAAAAATATTTATTGCAGCCTAGGTTACTTGGAAGTCTGCTAACTGTTAAATTGATAAAGAAGCTCATTTATTGCAGTTTAATAGACTGTTTTAAGAGCTTGAAGGACACAACACCGCTTTATCTGTCTGAACTTTTATACCRTCACACACAAGCCAGAACTTAACTTTAATTTATTTTTTATATTTTAAAACTATTTTGTTTTATGCAATATTGTATTATATATGTTTTTGCTTTTACATTAACTACGGGTTTTGTTTTTTGTACAGCACAGCAAAGGTTGTTTTATAAATGTGCTTTAGGTTAAAGAAAAAAAATGACAAAAGCGCTAACATCATGCAAAAAATATTTAAATGACAGAATATAAAACCATGAGGAGCAGTTTGTACACCTGGTAGTGCAACAAAGGAAATGCTGTTTAAATAAAATACTATAAAAAAAACATGTGCATCATGTATATATTGATGTGCAGTGAATTTGTACTTTTTGTTATCTATAAGTAATGATTCAGTGAGGTGGTGAACATAGAAAGGACTTCACATGATGTGTGTTATGACAGCAGACCAGAAGAATCTTGCTGTCTTTAAACCATCTTTATTAAATTTTGGTCTTGTGGTGACATTTAGAAAGAAAGAAAATATTTCCTTAAAGGACCAGTCCAAAATAATGTGCTTCTAAAAGTCACAACCTTATTTTTACACAGACAACTTTTAAAAGCTAAAGAAATCACATGATACCTGGCTKGGTCTTTGGATTGAGCTTTTATTAATTTGGGGATCAAACAGAAGGTGATTGAGGCCGTGCAAACTGAATCATCTTCAGCTAGTAACAGATGAAAATTCAACTCATCCATTTGTACACTAACATAAAGAATGAATTCAGCGTAACAATGATAATTGTATTTCTAATCTCACTACCCCATGGGTTATAGAACAGCACCTCTCTCTCTCTCTCTCTCTCTCTCTCTCTCTCTCTCTCTCCCTCCCTGTTTAAGACTGGCCTGAAGACACATCTTTTCAGATTAGCCTTTCACTGTTAACTCTCATTGGTTGGTCATTGTACTTTAATTTACATGGTACATTTGTATGTTACTGTTGTACAGTGTCCTTGGG